GCAGGCGCCTGTAGTCCCAGCTACTCGGGAGGCTGAGGCAGGAGAATGGCATGAACCCGGGAGGCGGAGCTTGCAGTGAGCCGAGATCATGCCACTGTACTTCAGCCTGGGCGACAGAGCGAGACTCCATCTCAAAAAAAAAAACAAAACAAAAAAAAAAGAAATCAGGTTAATGAGTCTATATGTATGTATATAACTATACACATTCTACTGAATCGAACATATTGCCTGAGTCAGGAAGCAACTGCAATAATTTTGTATAATTGCATCCCTAGACATAAACCCTTAGTTGTGATTCTGATACGGAAACCATAGGCTGGGTGCAGTGGCTCACACCTGTAATCACAGCACTTTGGGAAGTCGAGGCAGGCGGATCATCTGAGCTCAAGCTCAGGAGTTCAGAAGCAGTCTGGGCAACCTGGAAAAACTCTGTCTCTGCAAAAGTTAGCCAGGCACAGTGGCACACGCCTGTAGTCCCAGCTACTCAAGAGGCTCAGGAGGGACGACCTTTGGCCCAGGAGGCAGAGGTTGCAGTGAGCCAAGATTGTGCCACTGTACTCCAGCCTGGGTGACATCCTGGCTCAAAAAAAGAAAGAAACCATAGTTGTTTCAATAGGTATGCACCATATAAAGATACTGGCCTGCCCGGGTGCAGTGGCTTATGCCTATAATCCCAACACTTTGGGAGGCTGAGACGGGCGGATCACCTGAGGTCGGGAGTTTGAAATCAGCCTGACCAACATGGAGGAAACCCCGTCTCTATTAAAAATACAAAATCAGCCGGGCGTGGTGGCGCATGCCTGTAATCCCAGCTACTCGGGAGGCTGAGGCGGGAGAATCGCTTAAACCCAAAAGTCAGAGGTTGCAATGAGCCAAGATTGCACCATTGCACTCCAGCCTGGGCAACAACAGCGAAACTCCATCTGAAAAAAATAAATAAATAAAACAATAGAGAGACTGGCCTAAGAACAAACTAAGATTAAACATCACAGATAATCCTGATAAAATGACATTTGAGATCAGCAAAGAAAGTGAGGTTCAGAACACTGTGCAGCATGAAAACAGGGAGCGGGGTTGTGGGGGGACTGTGCATTCATTCATTCATTTATTTAGAGACTTATTGGGGATGGGGGAGTGGTAGATTTTGCCTCCCAGGAGACAGAGACACTTCTGATTGTCACACTGGAGGCTGCTGCTTGCTGGCATATAGTGGGCAGAAGCCAAGACTGCTGATGTTTAGATTCTAAACATTCTACAAGACACAGAACAAGGCTAGGTGTGATGGCTCACGCCTATAATCCCAGCACTTTGGGAGGCCAAGGTGGGCAGATTGCCTGAGCTCAAGAGTTTGAGAACAGCCTGGGCAACACGGTGAAACTCCGTCTCTACTAAAATACAAAAAATTACCTGGGAGTGGCGGCATGCACCTTTAGTCCCAGCTACTCAGGAGACTTGAGACAGGAGAATTGCTTGAACCCGGGAGGCAGAGGCTGCAGTGAGCCGAGATCACACTACTGCACTCCAGCCTGGGCAACAGAGCGACTCTGTCTCAAAAAAAAAAAGACACAGAACAGCCCCCACAACAAAGAATTATCCAAGTCCAATAGTGCTGAGGTTCAGAAACCCTAATCTAGGAGGAAAACATGAGAAACACAGCATTAGTTATCACAGGGAAGAAGGAATGTGGTTGAAAGATTACTTACTTTATACTCTTTTAAAAATTACTGAATTTGGGCTGGGCGCGATGGCTCACACCTGTAACCCCAGCCCTTTGGAAGGCTGAGGCGGGCGGATCACGAGGTTAGAAGATCGAGACCATCCTGGCCAACCTGATGAAACCCTGTCTTTACTAAAATACAAACAAAAATTAGCTGGGCCTGGTGGCACACGCCTGTAGTCCCAGCTGCTTGGGAGACTAAGTCAGGGGAATTGCTTGAACCCACGAGGCAGAGGGTGCAGCGAACCGAGATCGCGCCATTGCACTCTAGCCTGGTGACAGAGCAAGACTCGGTCTGACTCACACACATACACACACAAAAACTGAATTTGCAAAACTACTTAATAAAATTAAACAATTCTGATAGATTATGTACCCATCTGTTGGTTCTCAGATGTGTTAGCTTAGAAAATATAATCAGAGATGGTAAAGTTCTTTACATACTCAATCCCTGAGCCTAGGACGTATTTCTGTCTTTTTTCCTGAAGGTGCTACCCTGTGTGTCATCTGCCAAGACAGAAGTTCCTTGCGCCAAACGATTGTCCGCTTAGAGCTAGAAGATGAGTGGCAGTTCCGCCTCCGGGACGAGTTTCAAACTGCTAACAGCAGTGAAGACAAGCCTCTCTACTTTCTTACTGGACGTCACGTATGAGCTTTTGAAGAGACCAAAAACAGCAAAAAGATGCCTAGGTGGGGTGGGACAGAAATAATTTGGGATTTTTTTTTCCTTTAAAGTACAATCACTGTGGAGCAAAGTGCAACATATTTGTCTAAATTCTCCAAAGAACTCCCCAAATCTGATCCAAGTCTTTGGGGACATCACTTTCCTTCACTTCCAATTACAGGACCCTGAAATTCAGGTAAACTCTACCCTAGGTAGTTATGCAATTACTTAAGATACGGTCTGCCCATGGGATCCTGAGGAGGATATACTTTGGAGAGTGAATATGGAGTTTGCATTATTTTTTTCTATTACACTATGTTAGGGGGAAACTGTCAGCATTAACTAGCCTGAATGTGTTACATGAGACTCATGCCATTGGTGTGGAATTAATTGAAGATTAACGTTTGAGGCCTGAACCCTCAGTTTCTCTTCAGATCTGTACTTTGGTACAGTATTACTCAGGGGTTTGAAATGATAGAATGTAGACGATATTTGTATTTAAAAAAAGAAGTAGCTTTGTCTTTCTCTGTGCAGTGTTAGTTTAAGATTTATAATCTTCTATGTATTGAAACTTTTGGCAAAATTTCCACAGGAGTTAAAAGTTTACTATTTAAACTGAACAAACAAATCAGTAAATGCAGAGCAGGCATTGTGTGCATTTATTCATCTTCTAGCCTAATTCCTTTGCTTTTTCCCATTCTTTAAATGTGTTTCCAGTCTTCAAGAATATCTTATCTATGAGACTGTGGAACAGCAATTAATCTTTTGCAAGAACTTGATTAAGTCCATTGAGTTAAGAAGCTTTCAGCAGGTAACCTGCACCCGCCGTTTGGTTGGAATTAAGCAGTTGGCACCAGCAAACCTAAATGTCAGGCTGAGGTTCTGTTGCAGAGTGAAACTAATTTGTTTCCTTTCAGGGACTCAAGCAAAGCTTCCTTTATTTAAAAGATGCACTGAATATTACCACCTTACACTGACAACGCCACAGAAATTGCTGAATTGGGAAATTGAGCCATAAAAAGAGAAGTGTTTTCTACTTCATCTTAGCAATGACTCTTGTGAGGAGTAAGGAAGACTCCATTAAGAGTCTTTATGATTCATTAAAATCAGCAGGGGGTGTTTGTCCAGTATCGGCAATGGGAGGCATATGTTTCTACAGATTTCTCAAATATTTTAATCAAAGACATTATTTTTAGAAAATGTTCCAGACAAACTAAGTCTTAGAAGTTTACTCTTAAATTACTCCAGTTCTCATCATTGAATAATGTCTCGAGTTTTCTCATTAGCCCATATTTACTACTTTATCCCCACTTAACATGGCCATTTTTACTTGAATCCATCTTGTTTGTGTCCTGAAACTACTGAGGGGCCTACTAAGCCTGCATTTACTTAGAACAAATAGTGTTAATTGACCAGCTTTATTATGACAAAGAGTTTACAAAGCTAGTGAAAAAATGGAATGTATTAGACTAAAAATGGTTTGCAGATCTCTTGGTTTTAATATAGCTACTTATAATGCTTTAACTGTATTTTGAAGTGAACAATTCCTTTTAACCCCATTTTTAATTGTCTTTCAAAGAGGACCTGCCTCATACATAATATAAAAAAAAACTCCTTAATTTTAGTACAGCAGAATTTTTGGTAAAGAGGTATGTTTTGAAGCAGTTTGGTTTAAATATGAATGTATTTCACTTGTTCCTGTTTTGTTGAAAGGGCCTAATGCAAATAATATCAAGAAACCCACTGTCTGTGCAATATTCCAATGACATTTACATAGGGCAAATAAAATACTTGAAAGAATTATAAAACAATTGTACCTGGGGTGGATGGCCTCGCAGGGTTTCTTCTGGCTTTATGACTTCATAGCTTAAAGAAATTTTTTTTTTTAAGTAGTTACATCAGATGCAGGTACTCCATTAGTTAGGGCTGCACTCTGAAAATTCAAATTATTATTATGAGCTCTTAAATACTATTTAACTCTGTGGAAGAGATTTGCCAGAATAAAGCCAAAAGACCATCACCCCTATAAAAGAGAAATTGACCTGCTTATTCTTTTCAAAGCCTATCTTACTAAGGTTTGGATCTTTTAAAAATCATCTTATCAGTATAATTCTTGAGTATGTCAGGTCCTTCTTTAAGGATAAAATTGCACAAGCACAGGACACCATGATTTGTATATATATATACTAGTGTGTTCGGCTTTAAGCTTTGCAATCCCTTAGGACACTGGTGTGGGATGAATGGATTCGCTAGGCCCACACAGTAACTCACCTGTAGACCTGCTGAACCTCAGCATGTATGACAGTTCACACAGGCTAATACTGAATGTAAACTGAAAACTAGAAGAGAATTGTTGTAGTCAATTGTTTTTGGCTGTAATTTATGCAATTGCTTTTTGTGATTTTTAGAAAATGGGGCACCTGTGTTACTTTATTACTGTAAAATGTTCTTAACCAAAATTTGGTGAATTTCACTAGTCTACCTCACGTTTTGTTAATGATTCAAAATTGTCTTGTGTCTACTGTTATGTTTTTGTCCTTTAATTTGGTAAATGTATTAAAGTTATCTCCCACCCCCTCCAAAAAGTTATTTTTTCCTTATAACTTTCTGGCATGTTAAGAAAACAAGCTCCCTGACTCTGGCAATGTCCTAAAAAGGCTGGAAGTCACATTATAGGTTGGACAACTAAGATTAAAGAGGTGTTGAAAATATACATAGTAGATCCCAATCTTTTATTTGAGAGATTGCAACTACACTCACTTTGATGTCCTTTTGGAAACAGAACTTTGGGTTGCTAGAACTAATACAAGGTGTTATTGTTAATCTCCAGTTAAAACTTCTCAAACTTTTTGAGAACTTCTCAAAGTTGCTAGAACTATGTAGTTTAATGAAGATGGTGTTATTGTAGCATGAATTTTATCTTCTTAAAATTTTTACTAAATTTTGAGAAGAAATAACTTTGTTGTCCCAGAAAAATGGCTTTCAATCTATTAATAAAGTGTAGTAAATTAAAAGAATTTGACATAGAATCCATGAAAACAATCTTCTAGGCCGGGCGCGGTGGCTCAAGCCTGTAATCCCAGCACTTTGGGAAGCCGAGACGGGCGGATCACGAGGTCAGGAGATCGAGACCATCCTGGCTAACACGGTGACACCCCGTCTCTACTAAAAAAGACAAAAAAAACTAGCCGGGCGAGGTGGCGGGTGCCTGTAGTCCCAGCTACTCGGGAGGCTGAGGCAGGAGAATGGCGTGAACCCGGGAGGCGAAGCTTGCAGTGAGCTGAGATCCGGCCACTGCACTCCAGCCTGGGTGACAGAGCGAGACTCTGTCTCAAAAAAAAAAAAAAAGAAAAAAAAAAGAAAACAATCTTCTAGGCCAAAGGGCCCTTAGGAAGGGCAATAAATATTTGTAAGTGTAATGACAGACTTTCAGAGGAAAGTAAAGACTACTGGTGTTCCACTATACATTCCAAAGCTGCTGCAACATCACATTAAAATACTTAGGACTGAAACAACATCCAGAGAACGAACATTTCTCAAGCTTCTCTTTAGACATAGAAACTGGAAACTGGTCCTTAAAGCTTCCTCTGAGTCCAGGAGAATACTGCTCTAACACTGAAACCTTGGCTTCACTGAAAACAAAACAACAACAATAAAAACACTGCTAAAGATGACTTCAGGAATTGCCTCTAAGGCCAAAGAAAAAGTCATTCACATAATAAATTCACTGTGCTCTCAACTATCAAGTGTTGAGTTAAAGCATCTACTTCAGTGACTATGACAACAGATAGTATTACGTTAAAAAAAAAAAAGGCAACACCAGTAAACTGTTTTCCGACCACTTCATTCCAAATATTTTATTTTTACCAGTCCAGTGTATTTTATTTTTACCAGAAGGGTGGTGGGGGCAGGGGGTTGCTAAAAGACAGAACTCATCCCCTTTTCTGCCAAAAGGCTCAGGACCCATGAGAAAGAAAATGTATGTCTAGAGTCACTACCCCAGAAATCAACTCAGCAATCTCAACCCTAGCTGCAATGTGGATGGGCAGGAATACAACTGTGTTCCCATCCAGAAGGATAAGACTCTATAGCTGGGCAGCCATGCAAAGTAAACAGGAACAACTGAAATATCACTGCAGGTTTGTTGTACTCACTGACTGTCCTTACAACAGTCAGGCTTTCAGTAGATACACCAAGTTCACTCTTGCATATTATGAAGTAGTAAAATACTGCTTTTTATCTGTGTGTCCATGCAGATTAAGGCATCAACCCATAAAATCTTGTAGTTCCTGACTATATTTGTGGCTCTTACAATGTCTCTATGCTAGAGACTTCTACAAACGACCAACAACGATATGAAGGCTGCTAACAAAAAATTTATAAGCACCTTATATAGTCAGCAATTATAGACTCACCCTCTTCTGCAGTCTGTGGCCATTAGTGTATACTCACTGTGTCCCTGCTGCCTCCACCACTCCACTGAGACTGCTCTTTTCCTAACATCACTTGGGCTCTCTTCAGTCTTCAACTGTGGTATGTCAGGGTTGACCATTCTTTCGATTCTTGAAATTTTCCCCTTGGTTTCTACGACTCTTCTGGCTCTCCTACCTTGCTGCTCATGCCTTCTTAGGCAGTCTTCGAGACTCTTAAATGATGGTGTACCTCACAACTCTCTTCTACCTTCTCATTTTACAGACCCCAGGGTGACCTTCTAAACCTTCAAATAAATAAGTAAACTCGTAAATCTGTTTATCAGTTAGAACCTTTCTCAAACTCTAGATCCACATATCCAATTGTATACTAAACAGGTATCTCCACTTGGAGATTCTACAACCACCTTAAAATCCTGACCAAAACTGAGGGCAACCCCATTCAATCCTCCCAACCTAATTCCCCTGTATTCCCATCTGCCAATCTAAGTCAGTTACCCAAACCACAATTCCCACTTACCTTAACCTCTCTGCCATGATCTTTTTGTGGTTGTTTATAAATTCCTATCAATTCAACTGTGTCAGTTCTTCAATTTTATCTTCTCAATGTGTACCTGTCTCGTCTTCATCTCCACATCACAGCTTTAGTTCAGTGTTTCAACGCTTTTCACACAATCTGCTCTTAGTTATCTTCTAAGTTCCAGATTCCTCAATTATAAACCCTACACCTCATAGGATTGTCATAATGATTACATAAAATAATGCAGCACTAAACACACAGGGTCTGACACACAGCAAACACTCAAATGTTAGGTATTAACTAATAATACTATTCTTAGAGAAACACCTAAATTGTAAAATTTGGGAGGCTACATCTTCAGTATAAACATGAAAATAAACTGGTTTATCAGTAATAGTAACATTTAAACCAACCACCCAATATACCCTCTTCCACCTCCAGGCTGCCTTGAAACCAAGTCAAAAGGAGTCAAAGTAGTATACTATTGTTTATGGAAACTGGACCTGTATTATGAGGTTAACAGTTACTAGAGAGTCTACACTATATCCCAAAATTTCATTGTTTTTTAAAAAAAACATGGTACCTGTCAGGCAAACACTGAGACCAGGATTGACCAAAAGAGTCTCAGGCCCAAAGGGAAATGATAGTATCAAAAGCTAGGGCCAGGTGCAGTGGCTCACACCTATAAACTCAGCACTTTGAGAGGCCAAGGCAGGTAGATCACATGGGGTCAGGAGTTCGAGACCAATCTGGCCAATGTGGTAAAACCCTGTTTCTACTACAAAATATAAAAACAAATAAGCTGGGCATGGTGGCAGGCGCCTGTAATCCCAGCTACTCTGGAGGCTGAGGCAGGAGAATCACTTGAGCCCAGGAGGCGGTGGTTGCAGTGAGCCGAGGTCATGCCATTACACTCCAGCCTGGGTGGACAGAGTGAGTCTCTGTCTCAAAAA